GGCTAAGCAGCGGTTCAGACACATTAGCACTCAGCCTAATTGACTGTCTGAGATTATCGTTTCCTCGCAAACTTTATGGAATGAGTTATGATCAGGTCTCCAGACCTGAGGACAGGGCTTGATTAATCCCTAACACTCATTCATTTGGATGTACGTTTTCATCACGCTCCCCGCCAAGCAGTCAAGCTCCACTCTGTTTGCCAGTGATAAATCAACATTCCCCCGCCACCGCGCTGAAAACACAGCACAAGCATCTCTCTCCTGCCCAAACAGATATATCTACAGCCTCTTGACTTCAAAATATTTTGCTATTTACTTCGAACTGTTAAATTATTTTATGATTGTGATCCTCCTAAAAAGAGGTTCATTTATTTCATTGAAACTGATGAGGTAGAGTGACCAGATGCCTGTTAGCGGTTGTTTAGCTACAATTAAGTTTAGGTTAAGTCAGTCGTGAATTTTTGTTATCATTAGTTGGGTAACTTTTGACTGAGGTACATCACCACAGTAACATATGCTGCATGTTCTAGATAACAGATCGTACTGCACATCACACATATTGTACAGCTAGTCATATGGTCATATGTATCTGCATCACAGCCAATAACTACTGTACAAATTCACAAACCCTGTATCAGGAAGCCTTCTTAAGAGAGTTTCTGTGGCAGCAATGGTGTTGCTTCTTTCTGTGAATATGTGTTGAAACTCCATTTTTCAGGATGATCTCTTGTACTTCAGCTGAAAGTAAATCACTCTGCCTCTCTCCATGTTTCAGGCGATTGGCTGTCCACTGCAAGCGTCACACTTTTATGTGCATGCACTCCAGAATTAATTATTCATTTTCAAGCTGAGCATCTACACCAGTGTTGAGAGTTGTGATGACATTTTACCCAAACTAAATCGGACTTCATTTGTTTGGCTCTGTCAATCTGAGACTCATAGAATTAAGAAGTAATACAAGAACATATAAAACTGTACCTCACAATGAAACATATTCTTATATGCTATTCCACAACTGTGAGAATCACACAAATTAATCCCAAAAAAATTATTCTATTTATTTAAATTGTTTTGTCCTAGTTTTACCAGAGAGCTGAGCTTAACTAGAACTATTATTAGTAATCACTACACTTATGCACAACACACGATAGTTGATAGACGTGCAGCCTGTAATAGAAACAGGTCTCTGCCATTATCTTCATTCCATCATATCTCTCAGTTCATCCCTTACTCCCTAATGAGAGATCTGAACAGTGGCCGCACAATTGTAATGAGAGACTCATCAGCGTACACTACATGATGAAGTGCAAGAGAAAAATGTGGTTCATCTTCACTAAATACTTCAGTTATAAAAGGGTGTGTGACTCACTGTTTCTATGGGTGTTATGTCTGCTATCCTTCCTCTCGCCATTGATTTAAATCATGGGTGGCAGCCCGGTTCCCATGTGCAAAATTACTGCGTGACTATATATAGAAAACGGGGTTACATGTAACGTTCTTGCCACACAGACACACATTTTTGTATTTTGCTTCTGTTTACGCAGACACAGCACCTTCTGTTTCCTGCATTCTAATTGTCGTGATGTTTGAAGTAACTCAAAGTGAATATGTGATTCGTCAATTGATTTTTCTCCCTTACAGGCTATGAATAAAACCTTTTAATTATTGATGTGCTGATGTCAGCAGTCCATTTGAATGTTGTATGTGGTGCAGACTTCTTTGTCGAGGCTTGTTCTTCCCTTTCCCTCCCTACTTTTTTCTCCCGCCCCGTGACATGGTAACAGAGTGACAGAGAGACGGAGAGGGAGAAAACAAAGACATAATGAGAATTACAGATGGACAATAAAGGCTATACCGAGAATAAGAAAGAGAATTGGAAAGACAGAGAGAAGCAGACGAAGAGATGATGAACGGGCTGAGAGCAAAAGAGAGCGAGGATGAGAATGAGAGAGCTAGCCATTAATGGAACTTGGAGTGCTGTGATGTTGCAGTTTGCTTGCAGAGATCTCTCAGCTAATAGGAGCACAGCACCTGAAAAATGGGAGGAGCGTAGGTCCATTCACAAAGTCAGCAGCAGCTCAAATAAAGGCAGAGGAGTAGAGAGCTATCTGCTGCATTCGGTCTGCTCCATCCTCTAATGCAGCCACACATCGCCTCTGATGGCAGCCCGACAAGCATTTATATACATGCAGGGAGATGAATAGAGTCTCTTCATACTTTCAATAAGGGAAAAATGCTGCAGAACGGTATAAAAAATATGTGAAGTGATTCCATGTTAAACCAAGACATAAGTGCGATTCAATATTATGAAATTAACCCTGACCTAAACAATGAATATGAAGAGTAGATATCATTTTCACAATGGAGATGAATTAATTAAACTAATATTTATAACTTTAAAAAAAAATCTGCAGGTATACACAAATATGTGCTCATGCTTGTGCATTGTACAGAAAACTTGTGCCCATAGAGACTCAATAATTGGCAGCTTGAAGAGGGATAATCTAAAATCTTCCAAGATTTAGACTGTGGTCTAAAAAAAAAAATCATTGAGTTTGGATTTAGTTTTTAATGTTAGTCACATCAGGTCAGCAAACAGGGAGGGAGGTGTGTGATTCACAGTCACGCATTCCTCCGAACGCACTCATTTAAAACTAAAAGCAAAAAGGCCGATGCCAGCTATTCCCAACTGCCTCCCCTTTGCTTGAAATACACACCATTAAACTATTCCTGGATCCGAGTCACCACCAAATTTATATCCACCTGGGTGAAAATAGATTCTTCAAAAATAGAGTGTGTATTGCGTAGGTTCATTTTCAACTTTGCTTGGTGCAGACACACTCTCTGTCTTTTCCTTTTTTTTTGACTTTCCTTTTTTCAGTGCTGCAGGGGGAAAATGTGTCAGATCCTCTTCCTGCCAATGAGAGAATCTAACAAAGCTTTGCTCTACTGTCTTTTCATCCTCCCACTAAAAAGATGAATGAGAATGTGTTATTTCTGCTCGTCTCGTCCTCCTGTTAACTACATGTTTCCAAAGGAGGCTCTTAATCATAATCTAACATGTATCATGCCTGCAACCTCAGTACTGCAGTACTCCGTTCTGTTTTTAATCCCAAAATGAATAGCAAACTTTATGCCTCAGATCCATACATACAATTAATTAGCTAAGCATTCCCTTCATTATTTATCCTTGCATTCTAGGTTTGGACTTGCAGGCGTATTCAACAAGCATGTTTCAAATATTTCAGATATTCAAGTGAATGCTTGGTGTCACTGCATACATGACCCAACAGCTGGAACATATATATGAGTTATAGTGAGGACCATAAAGGCTGTTGGCCAATGGCCAATCCAGACCTCAAATCTGTCAGACAAATAAAACAGCAGTGTAAAGTGTTCAGCACATAAGGACAAGCATCCTCAAGGCCCAGTCTGTGAGAGAGGCTAAAGCATCTTTTTCAATAGCAAATGAAATACTGCAATGAAATACTGCAAAAGGGACATGCACTTTCTCATGCTATATATATATATATGAAAAAAATTTATATAAAATATATTAATGCAAATTTAAAAAGTAAATAGTCAAGTGTAAAATAAATAAAAGAATCCCAATACAAGTAAACAGAACAAAGAGTGCTTAAATAATTGAAGTATGTATCTGTAGAGGCTTATACAGTATAAGCTGCTAGTTATCCAGACAAGAGCAGTCAGTGATTTTCTAATTTTCCAGTCAATATTCCTGATTATTAATGACATAGAAGACAGTGGAAGATCTATTAAGCTGCATTTACACAGCAAGACTTAACGCAAAGATAGACCTATTTTGACAAATCAGATATATTGCCCCGTCTTTTTATGACTGACTGTTTATGTTTATATCTTGTGAAGATGGGCATTTTGATCAAGAAGTACAACTGATCTTTCACAGTTGCACACACCCACATACTGCAAGTGCTCTTCACTAAGCATGTAAGCATATATTGGTGGTGGAGGATAAATCTCCCTTCTAATCATATGCAATTTAACACAGACTACACAGGAAATACCCCGTAGGTTACCGAGTTAGTGCAGCAAGTTTGTCTGCTGGGCCTGGGAATAGCTTTCATAAAAAGTCTAATTTGTACCAGTGGTTCTGAGAAAACAAGGAGATGGAGACATCTTAGACACAGTCCATCAGCCATCTTTAATATCCTCAAATTGATGGAACATAAATAAAGAGCGTTTTCACAGTCGTAACTTGCTTTTACAACAATATTAGATTAGTGAGAGCAGCCCACACAATGATGAGAGAATATCTGCCACCCCATTTGAAGTCCTTTTCTAATTTTACCGAAACTCTGATCTGATATCTGAAGAGAGTACAAATATAATGCAGAGAAAAATACTCTAAAAGGCCACATGGATCTATTGTGCACTGCCTTTGTTGAAAACGTTTTTGAACAAGGTAATCAGCTCTATTTTGAGTCAAGGTGTTCAATTCAATGAGTTGGCAGGTGTGCGTTTCCTTTAAAAACAAACAAATTTTAGATGTCTCCACAGTGGATTAAGCTTTTCACAGACAAGAGATTTCTGTGAACCTCAAAGTGTTTGATGTTCATGACTTCAGCCTCCATCAATTCACAGATAAGCAGATGTTCAACAATGTCCTTTCTCTCATCGAGAATAGTTGTCAATCACTCCAAGAGCAAAGCATGTAACATTTCAAATGTGAGGCGCTCATGAGTTAACTATGAGAAAAACACTGAACAAGAGTGATGTGAATAGGACGTTGCCATGGAGGGAATCATCTTTCACAGTGAGAAATCATTATTGTGAGCATTGCCAGTTGTCTTGTTGGCCAAAAGCCACACAGATGCTTCCAACAGCTATTGGAAGAATGTGCTGCAGATGTGTGAAATTACAGTGAACGTTTCTAACATTAATTATAAAAACTGAAACATGCCATTCCACACATGGTTGTCACTTTATTCTTTTTTTATCTACAATCAGTTGCTGGAATTAAAGAGATTTTTGTTGTTTTGAACGTCCTTAACCCAGTTGTTCTGGCACACACTGAATCAAACATCTATTGTGACACAATGCACAATACTGCGAAGAAAAGAAAAAAAAAGAGTCAAAACACTGTACTTCCATGATACAGTATATGGTCTTCATTATCTAATTATGATCAAAGTGCTTTCATCAGAAAGCTTTCAGAAACCAATAGTCATTAAAACCTAATGGAGATTAATTGTAAGACTATGTACCATATAGTATTTGTACTAAAAAGCAGAACTATTTAATTTAAAAAAAAAAAAGGTGTTTAAAATGGTGGGGGGAAAAAATCCAAAACAGCACCTACTGTACAAGACAGACTTTTCATTTTACATGACCATTAGCATATAAATATCTAAACTCAACATATATTTGTAATATAAAAAAGTTACTGTATGTAATTATTCAAAGTAATTCTAAAGGGCTTACAAACAAAGATAAAGAAAATTCTGTAACAGAACTTTAACTTCTTAAGCTTTAACAAATGGTTTAGAAGTATTAGTCATTGTTAGTTCATGTTAATTTTATCATTTACTAAAACATTATTAAAATCAAAAGTTGTATCTGTTAATATTATTTAATGGACCTGCTAACATGAACTAACTAATGCATTTTTATTACCTAATGATAACATAAGATTAATAAAAACTGTAAATAATTAAACATATTGCTCATTGTTAGTTATAGCAGTAACTACCATTAACTAATGGGACCTTATTGTGAAGTGTTACAGAAAATTCTGTCATAATTTACTAACCTTCATGTCGTTCTTTGTGCTTCCAGATGTGTTGAACAAAGTTTCATGTCCAAAACAGTTCCATTGGTCCTAATGTATTTTAACTGGATGCACGCAGAAGTGCAAATAAATATATAAGTAAAAATAAATAAATAAGTACAATAGAACATTTATATAGCTCAACAGGTACATAGTGCTGGGTTCAATTTCCAGGCAAAGCATGTAGTCATACTGTAACACAGTATGTGACACAGCGGATGAGAACAGATCATATACTCTGGCATGTTACACCGGAACATTCTCTTGCCATTTACTGTCACTGTCAGGAGCTATTTTTTAGAGGAAGGACAGCATTTAATGAATTTCCTTTTTTTTTTTTTTTATGGGGGGGGGTTAATAGGCCTATTTGTATTGTGTAACCGTTTTATAAAAGCAATAAGATACTTGTGGCATGCTGTATTGTGAATAAGTCATGGCTGAAGGGGTTGCAGGCACTCCACTTCACGTCGTGCCTAACAACGGCCTTCAGCTGTGACTTATTCACAATACAGCGTGGCCTCTCGTACCTTATTATTGCTTACTTATAACTATCACAATCTCCTGTCACAATCCTCAGTCACCAGCCCAGTCACCCTAGAACTACATTTCCCAGCATCCCTCCTGCACTCACTACACCTGCCACGAATTATCACCTTATCAAGACTCTCATATAAGGTCTAGTCCACACATACACAGGTATTTTTATAAACTGAGTTTTTCCTCCTTCACTCAAAAAAAATCTTGTCCACATGAAAACGCAAAAACACGCTATGAAGCGCTGTCAAGAGCATGCCAAGCCAACAGGTGGCGATATATCCCTAACTGTAAAGCCATGCTGATCAATCAGAAGACTGAAAAAAAGGTTATTACCGGTTGTTACCGGCACACACTCCGATGTCACAAGCCAAAATTTTCGGTTTCACCAGCTACATGACAACACTGCAACTGGAGTTTCTGAAAATCTTCACCCTGGCAAGAGTTTTCAAACAGGTTCGGTTTCAGTGACCTGATACTGCGTTTGCGTGTGGATGAGCAACCAAACTGCATAGAAAAAGCTGCAGTTTTGATAATACCTGTGTTCGTGTGGACAGGGCCTAAGAAGTCACTCTTCACATCTCCATTGTCTGGTCTAGAACTGCTTACCCGACTCCTTACCGGTGGATACTTATCTCTCTTCAGTCCGTCTGTCAGTTCCCATCTACCTGCAGCCGATCCAGTCCTGCCATCCAGTACCTGCAAAACAAAGAACTGTTATTCACCAAGTTAAGTGTTTCAAGTCTATCTGCCATCTTCTCACCTGTTTGCATCGTTGATTTCTCTGAACTATCTTTCAATAAATCTTGCACTGTGAAATGTTACCTGCTCGTTGATCCTCGTCTATTCTTGTGACAATAACATGCTACTAATACTAAAATGTTCTAATGTGTGATAAGAGTTAACCAACCGGTGTAAGTTAAGAGTTAACCAACTTAATCGGTGTAAGTTTCAAAAGTTATCAATGTTAAGCTAATGCTCATTTTGTTTAAAAGGGGATTTCCCAGATAAGGTAACAAGGATGCTAATTATCCCTCCTTACCATTCTCTCACCCCGACAGAGGACATGACATCTCAATCAAAAGACAAAGATGAGTAGCTGAACGTGGGAATGAGAGAACAGAAAGAGAGAGGCGTTCATGAAAGCAATCCATTCACAAAGCCGCCTTGAAGGACAAATCAGCAAGGAGCTTTGGAAGCAAAACTGTGTCTAATCCTGCTTCAGGCCTTTCTCGCTCCTCTTCCCCGTTTCACATTCATTATTGATAATCAATGGCTAGCTGGGAGGTCATTGTCTGGGGGCTGTGTGTGAATGTGAGCATGTGCATGTCAGGACAGGAGGGGATATACGTTGAAGTTTATGTGACTTCTCTTTGAAACAAGATTAAAATGTTAATGTTAATGATGGGTGAGTCATGATTACCCCCATCCTCCCCAGTCCAGCCCCTAATCAAAAGCAAGGCTTAATGAGCTGAGTGTCTGTGCCAAGCAGTGCTCTGGTCAAACCATGGCTTAATTGTTACCAAAATAGCTTCATCCACATTATATTTGGCAGAGATGGAGGAGAGAGATCAAGTTAATTCAGACACCCCACATGAGAAAATCAGCGGCTCACAAGCCATTGCTGACACAGTTTTTACGTGGGCCTGCGTTGGATCACAGGCCCGAGGGCACTCTAATGGCTCTTGCCTTGGTCAATCAGATGGGATTAATATAACCTTCACAAAGTTCAACTGTAGTTTTAGGGCAAATCGGCCAACGTGGCTACTTATCCAAGGATATATATATATGGATGCTCTATGTCATTGTTCCTAATATTAGTTTAAACAGCTGGAATGAAGGGTCCATAGTGTTTGTACCTTCGTATGAAAGGAAATTACATCCTTGGATAAGCAGCCATGTTGGCCGATCTTTTTAAAAAGGCAAGAATCTCATTTAAGACACGTGCCAATTTTTTTGTAATGTTTTCTTTGTATTGCTGTTGACTTCATGTCATTTTGAAACTTTCATTTTCAGGAAATGTAAAAAATATATATAAATATAAAGGTTTTTGAAAGTTTTTTTTTTTTTTCATTATTTTAAGACTTTCATTTGATGTTTTGTTCCTATATGTTGGTTTCACCACATGACGTTTTTGCCAAATCAAAGTCAATATGGTGTGACCAACAGGTTTTTTTTTTTTTAATAACTATAACCAGTAAAGTAACTGTGATATTTTTTTTTTCTAAATAAAGGGCTATTACAATTAAAGCATGCTCATCATAGAAGAGCTGTATGTCACATTATGCATGAAATGCATTTTAATATATTTTTGAATAAATTAATAGACAGGACAAAAAAAAGAAGAAGCATCACATCATTAACCCAAAATCAAGCAGAGAGAGAATGAAAAGCAAGAGAGGGCTTTGGCAGAAGTTGGGCCCTATGATTTCCGCGATGCCGAAAACGTGAACATAATCGCGGAATCCAGTAATAAAAAATGAATTTACTGTATAACAAAGACTATAGAATACCCAAGAAGTGTCACTTGTATAGTTTTGAATGGGGAAAAATGCAATGCTCAATATTGCCGCTCTTTTGAACCTTCTGAATAAAAGAGCCAATTGCTAATCAGTAAAGTCATTGCATCACTGCAGCTGCCGTTAGAAGTCCTGGTTGCTATAGAAACAGTCAACATTCTGGAGATGCACACTTAGGATTGTGCATGCACATTGGTTGGTCTAGCCTGAAAAATAGAAACAAAATTTATGAGACAGTTGTTGTCAGATTTCATTGGTGATTTCAAATATGAAATGTAATCGTATTGGCGAACAGTTTTGGAGAATTTGATGTTTCCCCATTAATAGGAGCTGCAGAGGGAGATGCACACTTAGGATTGTGCATGCACATTGGTTGGTCTAGCCTGAAAAATAGAAACAAAATTTATGAGACAGTTGTTGTCAGATTTCATTGGTGATTTCAAATATGAAATGTAATCGTATTGGCGAACAGTTTTGGAGAATTTGATGTTTCCCCATTAATAGGAGCTGCATGCCCGAGAGGCGTTTCAAAGATGGCCGCCGAGTGAAATGACTTGTCTTAAAGGGACTTTGAAAACATCCATAGAACTGCAACACAAGCCTGTTAATTTTCCATTTGTTTCCAATCCACAAATATTTAGATCAACTCTCAAAAGCATAAAACAAAGATATGTGAACAAAATGCAAGTTTTGGCCACAGCTTCAGATGCATGATATTTTCATTTGCTACAAGCAGGATACACAAGAAACACATTAAACTCAGACACGCAGATGGTTGTCGTGGTAATAAACACCGTAAACAGCGCAACCGTTCGTGTGTCCGCCCGTAATGCACATCTTGTATATGAAAAGCATGTTAGGGGGCCCTTAGCTTTTGGGGGCCAAAGGCGGTCGCCGACCTTTGCCTAGTGGGTAAGTCCGCCCCTGTCTCTAGAACTGCTCTGAGAGTCACTTAATCAGCATTTTACTGTAACTATCATCATATCATATTCAAACCGGGTGTGCCTCACACGTCCTGAAAAGTGAAGCTGCGGGCTCTTTGATCGCCCCCTGGTGGCTGGCTGCAGTACAGGTCATAAACCCCGCCCTCTCCATGTAAACGAATGGGACTTGAGTCAAAATAAAAAAAATAATTACACTTCCATTACAATTTCCCGAAAGATGGTTTTGGTAATTTAAGGTAGTTGTTATCACGCTGATATATGTTAAATTGTTAGTTTTTGGTTATAAGTTTGATTTTAGCTATTAATTTGTTGCTATAAAAACGGGGTGGGGTGGGGGTTGGTGTCGTTATGGTTGATTGGGTCTGCGGGAGTTTGGGCGGGAGTTTGATACCGCGGCTCCACCTCACGACACTACTGTGCAGACTCTGGCTCCAAACGAATCTCTACTGCGCAGATTCGGGCTCCAAATGGCATCATTTACTCAAGATGGCAGCGGCTTCAATTTTCTATAGTGGAAGGAAGTGGAGACGTGTCGTCCATATTTTTTTACAGTCTATGATTCAAACAGAAACTTAAAAGTCCTCACAGCAACACGTCAAAATAAAAGTATGTTTTAACTTGAAGAAACTGTGACAGAAATATATTATTGTAATGATAGTACTACCACTACTAATACAATTATTATTAAAAATATAATATTAAAGAATATTAAAGGAATATTTACCAGAAAAATTATTTACCCGAATTTATTGAGCAGAATAATGTAACAACAGTATTTCTGTAACATAAATAAATAAATAAATAATATAATAAATTATTTTGTATAAAATCTATTTATTAAAGATGTTTTGGTTTATTCAAATTTAATGAAACCACTAAAATGGAATCCAGAAAATTAATGGAAAACAGAATGTGGTAGAAATAAAACTGAATTTGAGGGAAAAAAAAAACATATCTCATAGGGCCTTAACAATGTAATTTTTGTTAAACTTTTAATAAATTGCTGTTAGATATTGTAAGTGTCAATATTTCAATTAATAAGCCATGCTTAAAATTGTATTTAACCATTAAAACATACAAAAAATAGAAAACAAATGGAATCCAGAAAAATTCAAATGGAAAAAAACAGAATTTTGAAAAAACTAAATAAAAAACTAAACGGAATTTGGGAAAACATAAAATGGATTTCATAGGGCCCTACAAAAGGAATACGGTGAAGGCATAGGCAGGTGAGGCAGGTCACTAAGGCAGCTGTGGACTAAGGTCATGAGCAGCACCTGACAGAAAGAGGATCAGCATCAGAGTCAACATCCATTCACGACGGAAACAAGTGATTTATATGCTGCTCAGGCCTCAGTATAAACCATATTAGTCAATGACAAATGATGTATAATTTTATGTGCAAACATGAATCATACATTTGTTGCAGTAAGAAAGTGGGCTCAGAGTTACAGACTTAACAAATGTAAAGGGTAATGACTCTTTCCTAAGGAACAGGATTTTAAGGGATTCTTTGTAAACAGCTTTACGCTCGCAGCAGAAAAACAAGCTGTGTGAACACAACGCCATAAGAGCAGGTTGAATGTTTCATTTGCCATTCATAGTCGACACCCCCAGCTGTGAAACAACAGGTGGTCAGTCAAGAATTAAAATGTGATTACTAATGAAATGTGACTCATTCCTCCAAAGCTGCTCGCAAAGTAACTTTTAAACAGTCTCCCACATGAATTTCAACTGTTTCCTCAAATGTTCTCTCCCCAAAAGTCTCACATAATGAACTACACTCTCAAAGAGGATTCACAGGGGTCCAATTTTCAAAGCATGAAATTGGACGACGCTGACGTTGTGTGTCTGTGCTCTTTCCATGTGGCTTATTGCAAGGGATGTAACCAGCTCATTCACAGGATTCAATTCCCACAGTAAAGAGATGCTTTGAGTGCCAATTGTCAAGCTTGTTATTTATATTTATATTGTTTGTGTGAATTTTTTTCCAACCTTTTATCTTCTCCTGTTTAGCGGAAAAGGTTGAATGAGCCATTCATGGGCTTGGTCGGCTTTATTGAGAGACCCATTTGTGAGTAATAGCCTCTGTCACAGGGGTGAGTGCCGGCGCGCTGCACTGACAGGATCATTGAGCTGTTGGGGCAATTTGCCCCACGATGCTACACTTTTATCAGGAGATTGTTGGCCATGGTGGGGAGAGAAAAATGAGGAGGAAAGCAAGCGAGAGAGAGAGAGAGAGACAGAGAGAGAGAGAGAGAGAAATGAAGCAGAAAGGGGCGCTTTCTGGATAAGGCTTTGCACAGCTAGTGCAGGAGGAGGTATAAAATAAAGGATAACATACTATTTTGGATGCCTGGTGAGTCATCATGTAACAATCAAATATGTATGAATATAGATGCATAATGAGGAACAACGACCATCTGCTCAGCTGCTGGATCTGTGCATTTCCATTGCCATATGTGACCCTGGACCACAAAACCAGTCATAAGGGTCAATTTTTTTAAATTGAGATTTATACATCATCTGAAAGCTGAATAAATACGCCTTCCATTGATGTATGGTTTGTTAGGATAGGACAATATTTGGCCGAGATACAACTATTTGAAAATCTGGAATCTGAGGGTGCAAAAAAAATCTAAATACTGAGAAAATTGCCTTTAAAGTTGTCCGAATGAAGTTCTTAGCAATGCATATTACTAATCAAAAATTAAGTTTTGATATATTTACGGTAAGATATTTAAAAAATATCTTCATGGAACATGATATTTACATAATATCCTAATGATTTTTGGCATAAAAGAAAAATCTATAATTTTGACCCATACAATGTTTTTTTGGCTATTGCTAAAAATATACCCAAG